GTTTTCTGAATTGAAGATGTGTATATTAAGAATGTTAGTCTGAATTGAGGGTTTTCCTAAATTGCAGTCTGTAATGTGGTGAATAGAGGATCTGTTCTGAGGGTTTGTTTGCTGCAATTTGCATTGTTCCAACTTGTGCTGAAAATACTTTCTCAAGTAATTGAAGAGACTGGAGTCCTCAATGTGCAGTAAAAGTAAGAGCTTCCAAAGACATCCTTTTAAGAAATCTGCCTTTGGTCCTGTTTTCTGACTTCAGAGATATGTTACCTGCCATTGCTTTTTTAGTAAGATAAGGATATCCTGCTAGCAATGCATCTTGCATTGAGTGTTTCAGGCTAAACCTCTTTTTTATCCAGGAATAAGCATCTGTTTTTGTGTACTTCTGGATTGTAGTTGGTATAAATACACTATGCTCTTATTTCTTAAAACTTGTGTTTTGTGTGAGGCCTCAGAGTTGCTTGGAGACTAAATTGTAGAAGTGAAGATGATGCAAGCTTGCTTCCATCTCTACAGAAATGAATTGACTGATCAAAACTCCACATCCTCTCCTTTTTCTCTGTTTGATCATTTCCTCACTGTATTCACTGCTAGCATTAGTCTGCCTATGGTGAGGTGAATTAGGAAGACTGATTCAGGTTAATTATTTTCTTAATGCGTTGTAGAGTCACAGGCTTGATTTGAATTTTACTACCTGATTTATGAGGTTGTCTGCATCTCTACAAGAGTAGAGTGATTAATGATTGGGGATTTTGCAAGGAGAGGGCAAGAGGGGGAGGCAGGGAGTTGAAGCACAGCTTCCTGTGGTGACAATATTGGCTGAAGATGTGAAATTTCAGTGTCATTTAAGTCTGCTTTGTAAAGCTCATGCCGCATGAGGTTCTCTACTTTTGATGACCTCAGTCAAAGGATTGTTTAGATCTACAGACGTACATTCACATTCCAGGAGTTCCTGTTTTCCTGTATCTTGTCTTTGAGTATTTGTCTGCATATCTTAAATTGAACAGTAGATGCGTTACAAGAGTTGGTCTATATGCTATGAATATCACTGCTGTAGCATTTTTGAGGCAAGAATAGAATCAGTATGTATAGAAATGCTTTTCAAATGTCAGTATTCTTTTGCGGGAAAGTTACTACTCAATGCTGCCTATGCATACTCAAATCTTCAAAGTGCTTTGCAGGCTTGACTAACCATATGCAGCCTATGATGTGAATTAAATGAAGTACAGATGTATCGTGCTCCTAGACTGGTAACGGAGGGTTGAGTGCCTCCTACCTTAGGAAGCACTGTCTACCTTTGCATTTAGTATGTCAGAATGTCACTTCCATATTAGTAGTAATTATACTGTTGCACGTGGCATTTCATGGTTCAGCAAGACAAACAAAGGCCTCTGGAGGAGGATAAGGCAGTCAAAGGTCAAATCTACTTTTAACATTGGCATTTCAGAGGGCAATATCTGTCTGGGCAGGCCCTTCCTGCTGGAGGACAGCTTCCTGCAGCAAAGAACCATTGCTAATGCTGGACTCCCTGCCATTTCAGGGCATATGCTCTTGCTTTGCTTTTTCATTCTGTTACAGTCTTCTCATTAGTAATGATTGGCATCTTGCTGATTGTATGGGGAAGTGAGGAGAAATGTTTTATAAGCCACTGGTGAAAATGATTAGTGATCTGAGGAACAATAAGGATATTTCTGATGCTGATGTTTCTGTGAGTAACTTTGCTGAGATTGAGGCTTGCCTTCAGTTGTTCCAATGCTGAGAAGGGCAATTTAACACACAGACTTGAGGCTGTTTTTAATATAGATCCTGAAATACTTGCTTTTCTGCTTCAAATTATTTTTTAAGGCTTATTCTGTTCGGTAGAACCTTATTGTTACAGTATTTAATGATGTGAAGCACTTGGTTAGCTAAATGCCTTCTGCTCCTTCCTCTTTGCTAGTGGTAGCAGCAGAGAAAGCAACAATTCTTGTTTGTAGTATGTGCATTTTAAAACTGCTGCTCATGTCTCTTGCCAGAATTCTAATTTTTGTGGAGGAGGGTCGAAGATTGAAGAGCCGTGAAAGCCTCAGCATGCCTGCGTCTAAAGAATGTGCTTGCGCTGGCATCCACTGTATTGCTGTAATTCAGACTTCTACTGATGCAAATGGAGGCTTAGACTCTTTAGATAAGTGAGGTTCTGCTTTTGTTCCTAGTGTTCCTTCTTTCGCCTGCTTCTCCCAGATCCAGCGGGCTTACTCTCTTGGACAAGTCAACCTATCTTTTTATGCAAATAAGTTGCTGTTTGGAGCTTAAGACTTTATTTTTAATTCATTTATAGCATAGAATGAAGTTGGAATAATCTACCATTTGTTCTTTTTCTAGTATTCTCCATTATGGGTTTAGGACACTATAAAAGTCTTTGAACAAGCATTCCTTCACTGTGTCTCATAGTAAGATTCCTAAATACTATTTTGAAGCAAAGCTGAATGGGTTGAAAAGGTCAGTGACTAAAAACTAAAGCTCATGTGAGGAAAGCAAACTGTCTACATTTTAGCAATGTACGTTGCAAGACTCAGCTGACCTGTATGACTGGATTACACATAAAAATGCTTTCTAGTCACTGCCTGTATGGCTATGAAGTAGAATTCTGTTTGTTTTAACAGAGGCTGTCTGTCTTTTGCCATAAATGAACTATGAGCATTAGAACTTTATGGGAGGAAGGCATAAAAGCTTGTTTTCAATATTTGTTTAAAATTGAATAGGGTGGTTCTGTGTTGTGGTGAATCTTCACACTCTCCAGACTGAAGTTTGACAAGTCCTGTTGCTGAACAAATGTGCAGTATATCCTGTAATCTTTTTATTGCTTTGTTGTTTCTCCAAGCCCAGCGGAATAGTTAATTCTGTGCGTTCTACTCTTTTTTTACTGTGACTGTTGAGGAAACAGTGCTTTAATTCTGATTTAGACTCGGTTTTACTCTATCCTGTGGTGTTTTGTCTATTTCTTGTTGCTTTTAAGCAGCCTTTTCTGCTCCAGTGCTTGAACTTAAAAGTCTGCTTTGAGTAGTTTTGTACATAATGGTATCAAAACATGGTAGACAGCCCCTCCTGTTTCTGTATTTACACTTGTAACTTTTACTGACAGCAGCAAAACTGATACTCAGCAGGCTTTTGAGGGCTGCAAAGGATGTGCCTGTTAATCTAAGGAATTCATGGAAGATATGGTTGTGGCAGTAACTGGAAAAAGGGAGGGTTTTTTAGCACACTGTACAGTTGACAAAATGTGGATGCTGGCTTGCTAGTGTGAATAGGTCTTTGTTTATGGAGGGGTAGGAGTTGAGGTTCAGTGGTAGAAGCTGATAATGGAGAAAAACGTTGGTTGTGCATGTCTTTCTGTTAATCCCTGGAAGGTATATGAAGGTATAACTGTTCTGCACATTTCTATTTTATTGCACTCCTTCGTACTGAGGCATGCTGCCGAATTATAGATCATCCTATATGCTCTAGCTTGCATGAATCAGTCTGACAAGTATAGTTTCTATTAATTTTAAATCAGAACTGATAATTTGCTTTATCATGAACCTATAGATCATCTTAAATTGACGGGGAAAAAAAAGGGAAAAAAATATCCTGTCAGTAAGTGTTTTTTTGTTGTTGTTGTTTTGGGTTTTTTTTTGTTTTTTTTTAGCCTTAGTTCTGTACTTTGAGGCATATGATTTCCCAATTGTTTCTCATAGCTAAAGGTCTTGAACATTTCTTTCAATTTCCTGTGCAGTCTCAGCACTTCTGAAAACTGACCCCATTTGCTTGGGCATCAAAGAAACTTCCTGACTGAGTCTGAAGGTGGCAAAAGGGCTATCTGGATGCAAAGAAGGGCTCTTAGTCTGCTTCTGAGTGGACGCTAAGCCTAGAGCCGAGAGACCTCAGGAGGAAATATCAGAGCCTATTTGGGATCTCTCTCTGTAATCCCTTGGCCTGAAGTTGTCTGTACTGTGTCCTTGTGTATGTGTTTAGCTTCAGGGAAAAAGTTCTAAATGCGGTGGGGGGTTGAAATGTCAAGACTTCAAAAGCAAGCCCTTCCAATACTACAAGGCTGATTGTACTGAATGAAGGGGACAGATTGTGTTTATACCCAACTACTCTTGGTAAACTGTCATCTGAAATTTTCTGTTTTCGTAACTCTATATGGAGTTTTCTTGTTAACCATTCTTCAGGCTCTGCTGGTTAGAATTGTTTGTTTTATTTGGTTGGGTTTTTTTTTATTTTTTATCTTTGTTTGTTGGTTTGTTTTTTTTAGCATGTTTGCAAATGTCCAAGTCAACACAGTCCATAAAGTCAGTTTCTTAGGTGTTTGAAAAATCCCTACTTATTTTTCCATTCTAAGCTTTCCACTAACATCTTACAGGAGAAAAACACAGTGCATAGTGTGGAAGCAAGAAAACAACTTTGTGAAGCAAATCCCACCCCTCAGCCCTTTTATAGTGGTGTGGCTTTTGTTCTTAACAAGAATAAAACTACACATGGATTTAGTAAAGAAACATTAAAATATGAAAGATATAGGAAGTACAATTGCCTGTTGCATTTAACAACCTATAGACAATAAGGCTTTCCAGGTAACCACTTTCAATATCTTGTTGAATGGGAAGTCTTTGGAATGTGTGCTTAGCCTTTTGCAGGTATCCAAGTTGCTGTCTGTAAATAAAATGATTTTGAGGGAATGGGAAAGCTGATGAATGTCAGTTTGCTGATGCTGGTCTTAAGTGTGTAGCAAGTTTCTTTTTCAGGGGTGTCTGTCACTGCAAAAGAGTGATAATAGATTGGACTACTAAGCAACAAATACTTGGAGGTTAAAGGCAGCTAAGGTTTCTGGGCTGACTTTGAACATCTGAACTGATTGGAGTGCTGGTTAGTATAGTCCTTTTCCAATAGAGATCTAGACAGGGGGAGGAAAAAAAAAACAATAAAACAAAACCCAAACTCTTTAGTTGTAGAAAAGTAAAAAAATATTTCACTGACTTTTTTCTTACTTTCTGTCTTGTGCAGACATTGTGCTATAGAAGATGCACTATTACCGATACTCTAATGCAGAGGTCAGCTGTTGGTACAAATATCTGCTCTTCAGCTACAACATTGTGTTCTGGGTGAGTACCAAATGTAGAGATCAAAATGCTTTGGTCATTGGGCATACCTCAGTTTCATTAGCTTCCTGCAAGTTCCTTTAAATGAGTGGATAACTTTTTTTTACAAGAGAAAGGGGTATATGGTATATTTGGGGTATGTATTTTGGAATCAAAGTTAGTTTCCATTTAAGAAAGTTACTATTACTGAAAATGATATGGATACTAATGCCTCAATCTTTCTCTTCCTCTTACTCAATGTGACTTTTGAGTGAAGATAAAGGAACAAAGCAGAGAAAACTGTTTGCCTTATTGTCTTTATGGAGATGGGGAAGGGATGCTTTGAGGATTCGTCAAAAGAAAATGGTTGTTGCTGACCAGGTCTATCTCTTAAGTAATACAAACCATTAAATATTAGTGTGTTTTGGTCACAGGAAGGTTAAAGCTTCCTTTCCTGCTTCTAGCTGATACATTGTTTGCATTTTAAAGGAAGTCTCAGACCTTTTGATCTTTCTGTTGGAGTGATGTAGTTGTAAATGTATTATGCTGAAGAGATGGGGGAAGTTGCCAGAGGTGTGTCAACAGCTGGCTCTACAGTGCAGTTAAGATCTTATCGTTGCTGCAAGCATGATCTTTATTGCCTGATACGGCTGAAATCCTAAGGTAGTAACTAGCTTGCCTGTAGAGTTCTTTTGCTATTGTGAATGTGGAAATCAGATGTGTGATTTTTAGGTGTGTTTAACAGACAGTGAAGGTCACTGAAGCACCTAATTGCCATACAAAAGAAGAGTATTTAAAGGTGACCACAGCATTGCATTAGAAAGTGGCATGTTAGTGAGAAGAATTAAGATGAGGCTATTGGTTAGTAGAACTCCTTTTCCTCAGAATTTGTAGTCAAGCCTTAAGTTCATGCCTAAAATCATGGAAGGACATAGGCAATCATGAAGTGCCCATGTAGTGAATTGCCCAGTGCGTGGCAGCAATAAATCAGAGCAGCAGCAAAGCTGTGTGCTTTACTGAAATAAAGATTCTACACAAAGATTAACTGGCCACAGTATTTGCCATAAATCAAGTCTTTGAATGTTAATGGCAATTTTTTCCCCTAGTAATTGAAGGTTTTCTTAATAGCCTCGTGTGTCATAAATAATGTTCTCCTAAGCTACTAGTTCTGTACTTAGTTTCCCTCTACTAATAGTGTAGTTTCCCTGTATCTGTAGTGAAATGTGGTGTGATGAGTAGCAGCGTATGTTGTGCTTTCTTTAATGTTCTGGTTTTCAGAGAAATAACTCATTTAAACAGATGCTCTTAAGCAGATACTCTATTCAGGTATGTAGAAAAATGGATAGACTTTTTCATGAGTAGTGTAGGATTGTTCTAGAACTGTATTTCCTTTCTAGTGAGCTTATTATGAAACAGCATTACTGTTCCTGTTGAGTAAACAGTCTTTATTTAAAAAAAAAAAAAAAAAAAAAAAAAAAACTTGTTTCCTAATGTCTTTACTAGGAAGACTATCAGCAGCTTGCCCCTATCTTTTTTACAGAAATGCATTTCATCTTTGTTTTCTTCTTTCTTTTTTTTTCATTCCCTACAGAAAATGATTGTTTTCTTCCAAAATTTTGTTCACTGTATTCTCAGTATTCTCAGACACTGTATTCTATCTTCAGCCATGCAGCTTTTTGCTTGTTTAGACACATATTAGAAGTATGACTGGAGCTTGTCAGTCTCAACTCATGGCACAGTTTATCCACTGGCTGGATGATCTGCTTCTGAATAAAGATTTTGTTTTTCCACTGTGCTTACTAAAGATGTCAGATGTCAGACTTCTGACTTCTCTTGCGGTTGCTCTGGAGATAAGATCAGTGGCTCTGTAAACTTTGAAGTTAAAACACATTGTATCTTTTTTTGACTAGTTTACAGAATATGTAAAATTAAGTGAATGATTGCTTTTCTTTACGGTTTGCTTAATGCTTCAAATGTGGTTCCTGTAAATGCAAATGTAGAACGAATAAAATGCCAAACTCAAAACTCTTTTTTTTTTAAAAAAAAAAAAAATCTGTAATTGTATTTTAATAATAGAGATATATCGTATTTTAATAATAGAAAGCCTGGAGCCAAACGCACCTTTATAAATCATCTGTAAATCTTCACTTTTCTCCAAAGTTTCTGTCGTATGGGCAGTGTGACAATGCGCTATTCAGTTCAGCTGGTTTATCAGTTGCGCTTGCGTACTTAAGATTGGTTTGTGAAGATATTTCTCAGGTCTTTGTGCTTGTCTCCTTACAAGAAAGGAATGGAGGTCAAGGAATGGTTTGTCTTTCCAGGCACGGCTTTAATGCAGAATTCCTGTTTTCCTCTTGCTTTTAAAACATGCTAATAAGATTGAATCTTTTGAAGTCCACTGATCTGAGCCCTGATGAGGCCACGCTGCAACTGTTAAAGCTAGCCCCAGAGTGAGTGCTCAAAAGTCAAGTAAAACTAGACTGAGTTTTAAAGTTGAATTTTAAAGTGTTTTTGTTTGCTTTCAAAATGGCTTTATTTGGCACAATAATTAAGAGTAGTAATAACAGATAAGGTTGATTCTGGCACCTTTCTATGCCGAGTCATTTTGCATTTGAAAGATGCATTCTGTAACTATCATGGATCTCGGGGGCTCTTGTGACTGACCCAGGGTGTAGTGCTGTGTTGTGGTGTGGCTTGTCACAGCCCTGTAGTGCTCTAAACCTTCAAGTCCCCACTTTGAAAGCTCTGTGTGATGAGTGGAAGTGTCTCAGTCTCCTCTTGTCTTTTGTGCTCACCCTTCTGTCTCCAGTTGTGTTTTTGAGGTAGTCCAAGAATTGTTCTTGAAATCCACCTGAAGGATGGCATGCACTCCCTGACAAAGCCTGCAAGTAAGATGCAAGTTCAGTGCGTCTCAGATAAATTGAGAGGACATGGTAAAATAGCTTTTGGCTGTTGTCAACTCGATTTCTAATTCTGTCTGTGCATTTTGTGTATGGCTCTTCAGGGTTTGGAAGAAGCAAAAATTTTCACTTCTGCTTTAGAAGACTCTTAGCAAACCTTTTTGCTTTGAACATAGTGATAAAGGGGTAAATATTTCTTAAACTCTGAAATAGAATTTTGGGCTAGTTTTCAAGAAGTAAGAAGAAACAGTAGTGTCAGACTTTCTAGACTTTTGCAATTTATGTAGTCATTCAGGAACTTCTAGAGAGGTTGTGCCAGGAAAAGAGGAAAGTATTTACTGTCATATTGCTGACTTTTCCTCTTGCAGTCAGAAAACAAAGAAGAAAGGATAGGAAAGAAGGGGTAGGTCATTGATATGCCAGCATGGGTGGAGTTAAGATGTTGCAAAGGATTGTCCAGGGAGTAGAGAAAGTGTTCTTATGCATAAATTTTGCACCTGCCAAAACTGAACTGTCAGTGCGAATGCATTCCTATAGCTTCTAAACAGCAGTCTGGCACACAAGTAGTTTGTGTGCAATGGCCTTATTGCAAGAGTGTTATTCAGCTGCAACTTAGGTGTGAGAAACCAATTGGATTCAATTTTCTCAGAGTGATTCTAATAGTTTAGTCAAAGGATTTTGAAGTGTGGTTAGGAACAGATAATGTTTAAACATTAAGTGCCCTTTTATAGTGTGTCTATACACCTATAGTTCCAGGTTTTGGCTTCTGCTTCTCCTGAGCAGAGGTTAAAGCCCAATGCATTATGTTAATATTGTGGGTTTTTCAGTTCAAAAGCAGGAAATGCCCAAATGCTGGTTACTAGGTTTAGTTTCCCGTTTGAATGGGTACAGTGGTGTCATGTATGTTTCCATCCAACCTGTCAGGCAATGGCTTAAATGACTAAGGCTTAAAAATGAACTTGTGTGCTCATTTTGTTGCCTTGCAAATTAGCAGTCTTGGTAATCATACCTAAAATTTCACAGATATATATTTTTTTCAAATATAAAAAGTTGTGGCTGGCTCTCTTGACTTAATACATGTGGTTTGGCTGCTGCCAATGAGAATTTTGAAACATTTAAGTCAATTGGAATAAGTTTATTTCTTACTTATGTTGATTCTGCAAGTTAAGTTTATTTTTCTGCTGATTAACTCATTTTTATTTGCAGATAGTTTTCATAGGTCCTCAAAAATGATGCTGCAAAATGAAGTATCCTGAGCAACTGTACCTGAACACTGTTTTTAAAAAAGGAAGCAATGTTCATGTTACTGGTTTTAAATGTGACTTTTTGAGTATAAAGAGATGTGGTGTGTCCCCCTTGTGTGCTTATCCCTTCCTTCTGCTACTACTTGTAACTTTTTAATGCTGAGTTGTGATTTGGAAGAAGTCATGAAAAGGAGCAATTTGTCAGGACAGTTTCGCATCTAATCTTGGAGCTGGAGAAGCAGTAATGAATTGCTGTTCATTAACTTTAAGAAATAAGGTTCTTTTATTCTGCTTTTATTTTTTTCACTCACTCCTGAGTGTCTCCATACATGTTTTTGGCTTTGCAAAGAATTGTTTAGCTCTTGATATTTATCCCTTGCTCTTTGCTGATATTGCAATTGTTTTTATTTAGACTACAAAAGTGGAAAGTCTACAGAAATCTTCTCAAATGCTCAAGTCAGTGTTTTTGAAGAGCCTGAGTTAGCATTGCCTAATTGGATTCCTGAAGCCTCCTGCTCTGTAGGCAAGGATAAAGCATGCTAGTGCAAAGCTACTCCATAACCAATTCCAATTTAGCTGGGGTGAAAATGAAAGATTGTCCAAAGGGGACAATCTGCTTATTTGGAAACAATGTTAGCATACAGAATGTGGAAGACAATATCTGTTTTCCCGGTTTTTAATTTCACTAGAAGTTATTTCTCAAGATCTATCTGTCTAAGGAAAGGAAAAGTTTTATCCTGTAACAATTGTGTGAATTATCTTGTTTACTGCAAATTGTAGCAGCTGAGTCTTGCCCTGACTTCCAGCATTCCTGGTGTATTTGGAAGGAGGAAGGGCAGAAAAGCGTCAATCTCATGCACTACGTAACAAGTGGTGTACAAGAAATTAATTTATTGATTACTTGTTTGCTTCTCTGAGAAGTCACTATGGTTAGACTTAGGGATGATCTGATGTGTTTTGATTTTTATACTGTTTTTAAAGTCACTATGATTTAGTTCAAAGTTTAAATGTGTTTAGCTGCATCAGTCTTCAGGAGTCACTGTGCCTTTGCTTATTAAGCAGCATCTGGAAATTTAACTTATTTAGCAATGCTTTGACCACTTGCAGCTTTTTCCCCATGTGTAAGCAACAGCTTTGATTTTACATCTGAGTGTTTAAGCCCATGGTATGATACTTCATGCCCAGAGGGGTATGCACCACTACTGGTGTAATTTTTATAAAACAAATTGAGTGACTGCCCCCTCTTGGCTCCCAACAAGAGAGCAGACCTGAAACAGTTTTATTTCTTGAGCATGATGTAGCAACAGGAAATCCTGCACCACTTCAAATCCACACATCTACTGTCTTGTGCAAGTGCAAGAGGATCCCATTTTCTGTTCTGTCTGTGCCTATAGGGAGTAACCTATAATGCCCTTTAGCTCATGAGAGGTGGTCCATTTATTAGAGAAAAGGACCTCTTTTTCAGGTAGGCTTTTGCACTTGAACTTTACTTGTCAGTAGAGATAAAATCTTGGTTTGACAGTGGGGAGGGGAAACAGCCTTGGTCCTTCATGTGATTAGGGAAGGCTCACTATATGTCTAGCTTGTCATGTCAGGCTAGAATGTCATTTAAAGTAATGGCTGGGAGAAGGAATATTGGCTTTCACAGGCCAGTGGAGCAATAGTGTCGAGCATAATTCTTTTCTCTCGGCAATCGCTAGTAATCAGTTGTTACAAAGAACTAACTGCCTGACTCTCAGATAGGCAAAATGTTTCAGTATAGTAGGGAAATCTAATAGGAAGCAAATAATTCAATAGAGAATGGTTACCTGAAACACCTCTAGTAATGGTCCCTGAAACTCTGAGCCAGCCAGCATAGCCTTGTATTGCAATTTGTGCAAGAAGTAAAAGGGCTATTTGTGTGACACTTCTTGCAGAAGTTGTGGAAGGTACTCTAGGCTAACTTCATTTTTAACAAGTGTGCATCTGGAATATATCCTTGGTCAGGAGGGGTGACTTCTGTTTACAGATGCATCCTGCAAAAAAGTAAACTTACCTAAATACTAAAGAAAGGACTGTCCTGTAGGAGCTGATGCTTATGTTGAAAGTCAGTAGTTTTAAGAGAAGTCTGTAAAGAGGAGGGTAAAAGAGTAGAACAATGATCTCTTGATTCATTTGAATTAATTTGATTTAGAAATATTAATTATTTGAACATTGATATAGAGTTTGTACATTGTTAAATTTGTTTGGTATGTAGTGGTCTATCCACTTACTAAGCTTAATTTAAAGGACCTTAAGGAAGTCAAGAAATGGAAGAAGAGAAACTCTGTAATAGAGGATAATGTAATGAGCCTGAAGTTAGGAAAAATCAACCATGGTTACCTTCAGTCTGAGGTGGTGCAGAGGAATGATAAATGAGGAATAATCTTCAAGTAGTGCATTAAGTTATCTGATTTTTTTTTAAATGGTGTACAGCGGTTTAAAACAAGCTAATGGGCCAATGATAATTCCACTGCACAGGAACATGTCAAACTTAATTTAGCAGGGTGTGTTTCTTGCACAATATACTTCAAATATTTTCAGAAAAATAGTTCTTAAAATGTGGGAATGCTATGCAGTGAAAACTTTAAATCGCCTTTACTAGAGTGGGGAAGAATTTCTTGTTACTATTTACTGGGATTGGAGGCAATATTTGTTTTCTTTCTGAGCAAGAATCCTACTGTCTACATGATTGGGTATATGTTTTCTCATTGACTAGTATATGTAATTCTTTTTTTTTTTTTCCTCCCCTTCAGCTAGCTGGAGTGGCCTTCCTTGCAGCTGGTCTGTGGGCATGGAGTGAAAAGGTAAGCGTAGAAAATGATTGATATTACTCTGGCTGGCCTCCTCCTGCCTTTCCTGCCCCCATCTAAAACCACTTTGCTTCCTCAGGAAGCAGTGAGAATTAAAAATAGTGTCTAAACAAAGGACTGTGTTCAGATGGCCTAAACTGAAATTAGCTGGAGTTTTGTTCTAGTTTCTAATAGATTAAATTGTGGAGCGGGATGCTTAGACACCTTTGTAAACTGTGAGAAGGATTTTACAGAGAATTTAATCTTTATATAGTGTTCATAAACTAGTTATTTTAGAAAATACATTTTAAAAATATAGTAATGACCCCATGGATCCTTTTTAGAAAGGAATAGTGTTTCCGAAGAATTTAAAAGATAACTATTATATATACACACCAAGAAAAGCACACGCAGTAGTAAATGTGACAGACTTCAGGAGTGTAGTATTTAGCCCTCCGGCATTACTTTATTCTCCTTCTGAAGACTGGGAAAAACTGTTTTCAAAAATTTGGATAGCACTTTCTGCAAGGTATGTTGAACTACACAGACTCTCTTGGTAATTTCTTGCGTGAAAAACGCAAAATGATCCAGGCTTGAAAGATAGTATGGTATTTTTCCTTGCAGAACTAAGAACAAAAGTGTTACTAGCCTTTCTCTCTGAGATTTTATGTCTTTCAGACTTCTTCCTTCTGTTTATTCTACTGCTAGCCATTTTGTCTATTTCTATTCACAGCAATCTAAAGCAAAAGAATTTCTTAGTGTAAAGATCTGGCTTGATAGTTACCAGTTTGCTAAGAAAAGCATTCTTCATAACTCAGCTTAGAATTTAAAACTCAACTTTAGAATTTACGTTACTGAAAAGGCAGGCCTGAGAGCTTTAGTACCATTTATTTTCTCTTTTTGGGCTGTCATTGGAGCCAGCTTTCTGAAGTAATGCCAGCTTAAAGCCATCTGTAGTCTTCCACCTTTCTCTCTATGGAGTTGCATAAGTGATTGACTATGTAGAAGAAAAAAATTGGGGAATATGATCCAGCTGGAAGGAAAAACCTGGACCAAAAATAGTCTGTTATTCAGCTGAATAACTTCAATTGGGCAAGTCTGTGCAGACACATATGTACATGCTTCTCTTACAGGACAAGAGGCAATATATATGTGAAAATGAATGCTTTGCCCCCTTGATGTAAATGTAAAACCATGTCCTTAATATTATCACTGTGAGCAGTAGGAAGAAGTGACAATTACTATCAGATATACTGATCTGCACTGTAGCTTACAGTAAAGAGCATTGCCCTTGTGAAGCTGTGTTGCTGAGTAAGTATGTTTTAATTACAAACTTATTTAAGTGTATAGTTTCATCATTCAGAATGACTATACAAAGAAGCTACCCTTGTATAGAGAAGCCTTGGGTTTCTGAATTTGTTAAAAATGAAATGATTTATTAAAACTTAATACTGAGGTATTTTTCTTCTCCCCATTCCCATACACACATTTGCACAACCAAATAAGTGTTAGGCATACCCAAGCAAATAAATCCTTGGTATACAGTGAGTAATCTAATTCCATGCAGAAATATGTTTACGTATTCTGTTAGAACAGAATTTTCTGTCCATTTCTTCAGAGGGGAAGTAAAACTCATATTAAATCTCATTATTCCATATAATGTTTTCTGTTAAAGAAGCACATCAAATGTGTGGACAGAAATGGCTATCTTTTAATTACTTCCATTTGCTCAATGACCTTTATGGTACACTAAACTACTGAAAGGAAAAATGTTGCTAAATTTGTTGTTGGCTCCTTTTTGTCTTTTAACATCTGTCTGGACTATTTCTGGTGTCTGCCTTATTTTTAAATAAGTTGCTTAAACTTTACACCTTTAGTCTTTTGAATGGTTCATGAAATCTGTACCTTCTTACTTCAGTTTTTCTATGCAATGCAGATATTCTATCATATTAATGTCATCTTTCAGCGCTAGTGCTTTTGTGGGGATATGCCATATTACAAATGAAAGTCTCGGTGAGCAGTAGATGAGAAGTAAATTCCTGAATTCTAGAAGTCCTGCTGTAGCCATAAGCCTAAAGATAAATTTAATCACTGGAACATCCTATACTGTAGTGTATCTTGGAGTACATGGTGCTGCTTTTAATTTTTCAGCCCTTTGTTCTTCTAGTAAAAGTCATCTTCATTTTGACTTCTCAGCAGTGATTTGTCAGTATTTAAACCTTGTGTATACTGAAAACTGGGATTGTTACTTAGGGAGACATCATTGCACTTTAGAAATGGGTTCATAAACTTAAGGAGGCAAAATAGTAAATGAAGTCCTGTATCTGGATTGGAATAACCTGATGCAGCAGTACAGTTTTTTGGCTTGACTACCCAGAAAACTGCTTTGTGAAAAAGTGGTTGGTCATCTGGTGGACAGGTATTAAATATCAGTCAGCTATGACAAGGATGACCATCTGCATACTGGGCTATGTTAGTAGTGTGTCCAGTGAGCAAGACAAGAGATTCTTCCAACCACATGCAACAGACTGCATCTAGGGTATTGTGTCCAGCTTTGGGCTTCTCTGTAGAAGACACTGTGGTGAGTCCAAGAGAGGATTATCAAGATGATCAGAACTGGAGCACGATACATGAGGAGAGGTTTAGAACCAGGTTTCTTTAGTCATGAAAGATAGCTGAGAGGAAGTTTTATTACCATCTACCTGCTGATTTGGAGGGTATATGGAAGGTGAGACCAGAGGTGCAACATGACAGGTTGAAATGCAAAAGATACATGTTGGAACACAAGAAATTGCAGTCAGTTGTTCAGTTTATTCTGCTTGTTTGGAGAATTTTCTTCCTTAAAAATGAGGGGGGAAGGAGTCTCCAAATTCATTTCTACTACAGCCTTTATAATCACTGTCAGTGACACTTTGAATTCCTGGCTGTTGGTTGCAAGGGAGGGCAGATCCTCAATACCATGTCATGGATGGTGCAAGGGAAGACTACCTTTAGAGGTGGAATGAGGCAATCCCTCAGATTATTTTTCTTGTTGCTCACTTTCTTTGTTTTGTCAGGATTTTTCCCTTTGGTTAGGTAAAAAGAAAGTCGTGTTTCAAAAGAGAGTTTTGTGAACCTCAAATATGAACATTTTAAGTGTTGTGAACCAGCTATATCTGAAAGTGAATGATAGAGCCCAGTTTATGTGTGCTTGTCTTTGTAACATGCTTTGATCAGAGGAAGTTTTTTTCTAAGAGATGTTGCTTGAGCAAGAGACTGTCAGTAAAAATCTTATGCTTCAGTGTGGGGAGGAGATGACTAGAAACAATTGTGAAAGCTTCAACATCCTGTTCATGTACTGACTGGTTTCAAAGCTTACTGGTTGTAGAATATACTCAAAATCACTCTAGATGCTCTTTGCATTGCTCATTAAATCCCTCTTCTGATACAGGACTTTGGTTAGGTGAGACTCTGGAAAATGTCCCAGTAGATCAAACTTGAAGTTAGCAGTTAGCTTTTGTAGTTGTAAGGATGAAAATGTCACCAGTGAGATTTTGCTGCCTAAGCCTTTCTGAATAGAGAGGAAGACTATAAATCATAATGACCTCACCTTTTCATGGAGTATTTCAACTCTTTGTTACTAGCTGTTGCAAGGTGATTTTTCAATTCTAAAGTAAAATTAATTTTTCATTCTTTTGGACTGTTGATTTTAAAAAATACTCTGTTGTCCCATTGTTAAATAAATGATTCTAACAAATTTGTTAAGGAGCACATTGTGGGAGGGGAAATAAACTGTTATATGTCACTAAGATACTGCTAATGGATTTTTATCAGCTAATTAAGTTATTCCATGTCAAATTTCTTCTAATGCAATATTTCTAAGATGATATTTCGCTTATGTATGCACATAAAGTAACATGGATTTTTTCTATGGTGTTCCCTTGGAATGTGTTATTTTTCACTCCTAATCTAGTGCAAATACCTGAGTAGTGAAATGACTTTATATGTTCTTAACATAAATAAGTGGCTTTTATGAATTGTGACCTCTAGATGTCTATTTGAAAGCTTCTTGTACTGAATATAACTAGATTGAGAATATATCCCTTAGTTGCAGGATGTGTTTAAGTGTTGCTTTTCTGCAAAGTTCATCTTGATGTGTGAAGCTCCATTTCTTTTGTTATTGTTAAAGGAAAGGTTTTCTATTATTAAAATGGTTCTTTATTGCAAAATGAGGAATGCTCAGACTATTGCATGACCACCTGCATGTCCCTACAGACTGTTTTTTGCTAATTTCTCTAAACCCTAAATTGGAAAGAATGAGAGCTTCATTGCGTTGGCCCTGTATTGACATAGACGCAGAAATCTGGCCTAAGATCTGGGCAGACAGGTGTGATAAGTAAAATTAAGTGGAGCATTAGGATAGTTAATAAAAATGCATGTTGTTTAAGATTGTAAGATGTCCCTTAGGGAATATAAATTTGCGGTGTGAGAACTATTTGAGGTGTGGGGGTGAAATATCAGGGCTATTTGGCATTTTGAAAGATTTTAGAGGAGCAGTCCGAAGTATGTTCAGTGACAGGAAAGGTACAACTAAAATTTTGTTCACCTCCCTTAATACATTATCCATAATGTGTTTTGTAGCTAGGATATTATGTCCCTTTCTGCCACACAAGTGTTTAAATGGTTAATATGAATGTTTTGAATATGAAGGTTTTGTTGGGGTTTAGGGTGTGTGGTTTTTTGTTGTTGTTGTTTGTTTGTTTTTTAAGACTTAAACTGGTGTGATTTTATTCCAATTGACACTTTTCAAGTAATATAAAATACTAAATCTTTTGCCTCAAAACCAAGCCAGTATTCTGTGATAGCATTAAGCTTTTGGCACCATCTTGTGGAAGCTTGTTTGGCAGATAGGTCTAGGAAAAGGTATTCTATAAAGTTGACTACAGTGGGACTGTGCTGTTTTGTATAAGGCTTAGTAAATCTAGCCTTGCATTCAGTCAAATTCCTGTGCTGGAATGAAGAAAAATAGTACTGCAAATAACTCTTGTCACAGACTTCTCTGGAGGGTCACCTGTGAAAGCTATCTATGAAGTTGTAAGGGTTGCATGTTGTTCTTTGTCTATTTACCATGGTCCTGTTATAAAACTTCATGTAAATCCATAGCAGGTATTTGTGGGCTCACTGTGCAAATTACTTCTTGAACCTTTACAGATCTTGTTGAAAAAACATATCTGACAAGCATATTGAATTTGCTTATTAAACATGCTTATGAAATGGGGATTTTTTTGGTCTCTGAAGGTGTACAAGTAGACTTGAGTGATTCGTATGGAAATAACATGTTAAATGAAAAAAGTTCAATAAAAAACGTGCATGGTGGTAACCTTTTCCCTTACCCTGTTTTGGTTTTTCAGGGTGTGTTGTCTGATCTAACGAAAGTGACTGGTCTTCATGGTCTGGACCCAGTGGTACTGGTCTTACTGGTGGGAATAGTGATGTTTACTCTGGGATTTGCTGGTTGTGTAGGAGCACTGAGAGAAAACATCTGCCTTCTAAAGTTTGTAAGTAACTTCATTATACTAGTAGATGATTATGCATAAGAGAGAAGCAGATGATAGACTAGTGAGCAAAACCAGAAAATGACTTTATAGAGCATGAATATTACAATATACATGGTAAATTTATTGTGCTGACAAGCCTCACTGGGAAATGGCATTTAAAGCAATGTAGGTTTAAATCTTTTTTTCCTCCCTTTTGGCAAATGTTTCTTGCATTATTTAATTCTTTGTGCTGTTACCTTCCTGCTATTCCTTGTGCTAGTATCTTTTTATATTTTGAAACACATACTATAATAATGATTTTATTATCTCCCAAAATAAGGTATTCTGGAACACATGGAGTCAGTGAAGGCATTATGATTCCTTTCATTAGTTCTTGAGGAAAATGAAATCCCTTAAAAATTTGGAAAGAGTCTAGCTCAGGACAACAAGGATGCTCAGGGGCCTGGAACATCTGCCCTGTGAGGAAAGACTGAGAGAGCTGGGTCTGTTCAGCCTGGAGAAGAGAAGGCTGAGAAGGGACCTGATCAGTGTATATAAATACCTCAAGGGAGGCAGTGAGGAGGATGAGGGAGCCTATTTTCAGTGGTAGCCAGTGATAGAACTAGAGGTAATGACCACAAACTGAAGCACCAAAAGCTCCACGGGAACTTAAGGAAAAATTTCTTACCAGTGAGGGTGACAGAGCCCTGGAACAGGCTGCCCAGAGAGGCTGTGGAGTCTCCTTCTCTGGAGATCTTCCAAACCCGCTCGGACGCAGTCCTGTGCCACGTGCTCTAGGTGACCCTGCGTGTGCAGGGGGGTTGGACTAGATGATCTCTAGAGGTCCCTTCCAACTTTAGGGATTCTGTGATTTAAATCTTCGGTGTGTTTGGTAAGCAAAATTAGGGAACTTAAATGATTAACATGAAATCTATCAAACATTTCTTTTTGGTACTGAGATTTCTTTTTTTTACTTCAGATTTAGAAACAATTAACCTTGGAAAAAGCAATGAAGATTGAAACAATGCAAGCAGAACTTTGTCAGGGCTTCTTTAGTCTTGCTTTTTGTAGCCTCTTGTTTGTCAGTATTTTCATGCATGTGCAAAGTGACTATGATGCAATGTTTTTGTTTACTCTTCAGTTAACCAGACTTTTTTGGTGTATGCTTACTGAGATTAAAATCCTCACACAGTACTGCTATGAGAGGTGGCCAGCACAGTCTTTTTTGGCAGAGTTAGAGTAGGCATGCATTGAAACTGGATTTATCTTTTCTAATTTGTGACTTTGATTTTGCAGTTCTGTGGAGCGATTATGTTTATATTTCTTCTGGAGATGGCAGTGGCAGTTCTGGCTTTCCTGTTTCAGGACTGGGTGAGGGACAGGGTCAAGGAATTCTTTGAGAATAACATTAAGTCCTACCGAGATGATATTGACCTTCAGAACCTCATTGATTCACTACAGAAAATTGTAAGTTAATATCCGTGTTACTTTTGTGCCTTCTAGGAGAAGATGTAGCTAGAGAAGTTTTCCTCTTTGTGTATTATACCCTTTTATCATCCCCAGTAGTTAATGGTGCTGCTCTTTCTGTACCGAAAGCATTAGGGAGGCAAGACTTCTGAGTTACCATGCTCTTCTAAGTGCTAATGTAGCAGGTCTGCCAAACACGTATCTGCTTTTTGATGCCTTTGACTTGCTTCCCTGTTCTGATCATGATATTGCGGCATTTTAAAAAGCTAGCAACAAAACTATCTTGACCCCCCCCCTAAAAAAAAAATAAATAAAACAGTGTCTAGCCTACATTATTTTAGGAGACATGAGTTATGTACAGGGCCTCTTATCTTCTGAGACAGATCTCACAGTGAACCAAAGGATGGGGAAAGGCAGGTGATGGAATTAAACTAAGCTTAGGGATATGTTAGGGATAATTAAGATAATATAAATTTTGTGAAGAGTGACTGTGGACAAAGAAAAGCTAGAGACCTCCTGAAAGAGGAGGGAACTGTATTAGGTACCAGGAAAATCTGTGTGGCTGTATGTTTTAAATTCTTGAATTATGGTGAAAGGCTTGCACCCTAAATTATTGAGGTCGGTCAACTGCAAGGCATAATTTAGGAGCAGCTTAAGTTCCATTAATTCCAGAACTTGGACATTGACTGAAAAGTCTGGATTCTAGTAATGACACTGTTTAGGTCAAGAGATGTGTATGAAATACTTCTAGAGCTGACTGTCTTTATCAGTTAATTTGAATATGAATGTCAGAGCATATCAGTGTGCCATTGAAAATGAAAATCTTGTTAATTTAAAAGAGCATGTTCACAAATAAATATTTGATCATTTTTTGCAGTATGTAGGGAGGCGAAAACTTGTTGATTCATGAAGATTTAAAGTTCCAGTCACAAATTTCAGGAGACATTCCCCATAATTCAGTTTTGGGTTGACTTGGAAATAATGAAAAACAAAGTATTTTTGTAAATTCTTGTTGTACCATTTATGGATTTATTATAATTACATATGGGAATTACATCTTCAGTGACAAATCTTACGATGTCATGTTGACACTCATTTCCAGCAGCAGTGTGCCAGACTAGTTTTGTTGATCTCGTAGAGCCATGCTATAGATTATCCACTAGCAGTACTACAGTACAAAATTAAATCTGCACAGCCTTTGGAAAATGAAAGTCAGCAGATACCATTTTGGAGAACTATTCAATGGTTTTATTGTCTTTAAAATAACCCCGAATGCTAAGTGTTTGTTTATCTGTTGCAGAACCATTGCTGTGGTGCCCAGGGCCCAGATGACTGGGATCTTAACATATACTTTAACTGTAGCAGTGAAAGCAAAAGTCGAGAGAAGTGTGGTGTTCCTTTTTCCTGTTGTATACCTGATCCTGCTGTAAGTTGTTTCCTGGCTTTGTATTGCTGTGATGTTGTGGAATTATTAGGAAAGGAAGCACATCCTGAATATGGTGTGATGCCTAGAACTGTAAAAGAGGTTTTAAACTATCAAAAATACTATTGTGATAGAAACAAAAGAAAATGTCTATTTCATTCTTTTTATTATCAAACTGTGGCAACTGTCATACAGGTGGGAGTGTATTGTCACCACAAATTTTGTATAGTCTTGATCTGTAAGTGCTAGTGTTCTGCTACTGCTTTGCCAAATGCTCTTACAAAAATACTGATTTTGGCAGTTTTTGCTTGTCCAGGAACCTAGCAGATAGATAAAAATATTCTGTAATCATAAGTGCTTAGAAATAAATTGATATATTTTTCTGTTTGTTTGTTTGTTTGCAGCAAAAAGTTGTGAATACACAGTGTGGCTATGATGTCAGAAAGAAGGTAAGGTGCTAGGATGTTACTGTCTGCTACTAGATGTGTAGATATAACTATCTTGCAAATCACACTTAGTACCTGCATAGGCAAAATAAGTAATTATGTGGAACTAGTGATACTGTCAGTAGCCTGAAATTCTGGGAGCTAATTAATTGTGCTGCAGCATGCTAGTAGAGTGGGGGGAAATGTTCCTCTGTTTAAGGTAAATTTGTCTGGACTATGGGAAGGTGGAGAAAGCAAGTGATGGAACAGGTAGAAAGAAAAGTTAGTTTTGGAAAGGGGTAAAACTTGCATTCAGAAGTCTCAATTATTCTTAATATCTTTTCTGAATTCTGTTCTATGCTAATTATAAAACATAAGTAGGATTTGCGATTAGATACTAACATCATTGTCCTGGCATTCCCCGAGTTAATTAGGGCATATCTATGTCTGGAGCTTGGTTAGGAACATTAGCAGCATATGTGAAAAAGCATTAGTTTGTTTATAGCATGCCATGATATCAAATGGTGGTGTAACAAACCTGACCGAAAGTGATGTGTTTTCAAATTTTTCTCTGTGTTTAGAGCAAGAGCCAGTGGGATGATCAGATCTTCATCAAAGGCTGTATTCTTGCACTTGAAGCTTGGTTACCGCGAAATATCTACATTGTTGCAGGTGTCTTCATAGCTATCTCCCTGCTGCAGGTTGGTTGTTTTTGTTATGCTGTCTTCAATTTTACAAGTACAGAGCCACTGAGTAGTGGCTTTTTAAGTAGTTATGGAAGGGGACAGCAGATGTTTGGACACTTTGGATGCTTTTAGGTATAAGAACAGTTTGGCAAAAAACAGCTTTTTTATAAGGATAATGAAATTGGTTTCCTTCTTGCAAAATTATGATCTTCAGAGAAATGGAGGTCATTTAAAAATGCATTAAATTATATATTGTGTGCAGTCTAATATGGTAGCACGTGTTAATTATTGTATATTTATAATATGCGGTTACATCATTAGGTGATATAAAAATATTTTATATTTTTAAACATATATAAATATAATGTCTTAAACTTCAGTGTGCTGTGAGAGATCAATAAGTAGGTCTGAACTACATCTTTTTATCACAAATAAGTGGATTTCATTATTTTCACATCCCTTTCTTGGGATATTCCTGAGACCTGCCACTCAGTAGGTCAATTCATATATCAAACTGCTCAGAAAGTCAAAAATAGAACAATAGGGAAGTTGGTGAACAAGTTGTGTATACGATATTAGCAGAACTAGGTGAGGGAATTGCTGTAGCCTCTTTCAGTACCCTGTCTCCATTTGGTATATCAGAGAAAGTGAACTAAAATGTAAAAGATAGTGATCTCATCTTTCCAAGTGGATCCTGCTTTTACTGTGGCAGTTGTTTACACTTACCTAAGTTGCAATCCTATGATGCTGCTTTGTTTGTAGTGGAAAATTATGAACTTGTTAACTCTACCGCAAAATTTTCCTTGTAACTGGAAGAATGTGTTGACCATAGCCCTAGCAAACAGGCACAACACATTTTTTCCTAGCCTTGCAACATGTCCCCTTATGGCTCTTTCTGAAATATTGTCCATAATCTGTTGGTAGCGCTTCCTTGGCTTGTAGAGTCCTGCTGTCCTGAAAGCAACATCTTCACTTAGGAGGATGCTCAAGACATAAAGCTTAATCATCTGGCAGCGCGTTGACTGAGCCTCTGAGACAAATTTCATTTGTATTTTCAGACTGGATCTTTGGGTGCTAAGCTGTTTCATGGTAGGATTGAGTTAGACATAATTTGTCTACTTGTAAAACTTGAAACTTTCCCAAAACTTCACTCCATTGTTTTTTTTTCCTTTTTAATAATATTTTTCAGGAAATGTGCTGAGTTAAGAGTATATTTTCAACTTGTAAATTGGAATTTCATAATTCATTCAACTTTTCCAGGAAGTTTTCAAGTTGGATGTCTCCATGATCTGAGACCTCTTTCATTACCATTTATGATAAGAGCTTCATAACTCTTATAAGAGTTAGCGTCAGAGTTTCGTAAGAGTTAGCATAGCTAACTGTGCACTATATGTGTGTATACATAACAAAATGCCAAAAATTGACTGGATAAATCAGTTTAGCAGTGCATGAAAATGAGACTTTTATGATTTAGTGACATGTAAGTGCAAGTGTTACAAGACCCAGGTTCACTAGGCTGTGAGGATCCTTCTTTTCTGTAGAACATGGAGAGGTTTATATTTGATGCTTCAGGAGCATTCAAAATATCTTTTTATCGTCAATTATCTCTTCTACTAGATTCTGCTGCCATTATAGCTGTTTTAATAGAGTCTTTTGTTAGGACCCAGATCTTGACAGATGATCCTGCCTAAAAAAGATATCCAAATCAGCAAACAGTTCATGAATGTCAGTCCTTATTCACAAGAACAGTAGCGCTGAATTCAATACAGTGTAACTCGACCATGCAAAAAGTTGATTCTCATTCTGTGGTAATGACTAATGGCAACATGCTCTAATTTTTCAAGTTGTCCTAGACTGATACATTCAGAATGCTTCATCTCAGCTTGTTTTTTTGTCTTTTTAGATTTTTGGGATTTTCCTAGCCAGGACATTGATTTCTGATATTGAAGCTGTAAAGGCAGGTAATGCCTTCTGAATGTAAATGCACAGATCTGTCGCAAGAGAAGTATGTTTTACTGCTATTGGTTGGACTTCAAGGTGAAAAGTGCGCAGACCATGAAACATGCCTGTTATTAAAAGCCATATGTGGCTCTCACCTGCTCGTACTTCGTTACACACTGGTACAAAAAAGGATCTTGAACACACACACCTGTCTGCCTTTTTTACCAAAGGGATAACTTATTGCACCAGAGTTGCTCTTCGCTGTGGAACAAATGAAATATCAGAGGAACAGATTTTTGAAGAATGTAGCAAGGAGAAACACAACTGCTATTAAGTTTCTTGAACTGTCTTGAAGATTGTTCAGTTTTTACTCCCAACTGTTGTCATCAATCTCAGTGTTGTAATCACTTCTGAAGACATGCTGATCTCCTCAGTCTTGAAAATGTTTGAATATCTATGAAGACCCATGTTGTCAATGTGGCAAGATACTCAGGAGCTGTAGTGGTCATGGTATTTGAAAGGAGAGAAAAAGACTAATTTTCTAGTTTGTTTAATTCTCAGTTGTGCAGAAGTAGGGGATATTTTCCTCTGACTAGGAATAACATAGATGTCTCGGGAGCCAGGAACTTGTGCTGAACTTGAGAGATGGAGTAACCCAGAGATTTTGAAAGATCGTATATTTTCTTGAGGGGAAAATTCTGACTGCTATCCATAGTATTATATGTTACAAATACCTTTATTTGGGTGTGAGGGGGTGAATCCCTGATGCAGCATTTCCTTTCTGAAAAGCTTGTTAATAGCTTTTATTTATAGAGTAAGAAAACTACTTAGCTTTTTTTGATCAATAACATCTCTAAAAGTGAGGCATACAGAAATTTCAAAATGCAGCTATTTAGAGGTAGTTTTTCCTTGAGTGTTTAGGCCCATCTGTCTCATCATCACAAATTCAGATTGCTAATATCAAGGCTTGAGTCAACATCCAAAATACGGTCAACATGTAGACCCAAAACATAGTCAACATTAATCCCTTTTGAACTTTATCAGGGAATATAAATTTAGTAGAATATTAGAGCAGAGCTTTTCAAAACCTTTTTATGCAGTTGAGTCTTCAATTCTGTTTTTCTAATGCACGGTTCAATTGCCAGTCCAGTCGCAATATGGTGACTAGAACCATTTTCTTGGAACCATTTCTGCAAACTGAAGTATTACTGTTAAAGTAAAATTTTTCTTTGGCTTTACTGGAAGAAAAGCATTCTTCTGCCCCCGCCGTCCATTCTTGCGGCTTAATCTGAAGACCTGTCAAGAGTTTCTCAAACTTACTGAGAATTCTTTGCTTAGAAGCCTTTGGATCAGGATTATAGTGGCTACAAAGGTATTGCTCTTCTGTTTTCTGTGCCATGTTTGGCATAGTATCTTTAGCTTTAAAAGATAGGAGTATGTGACTGAAAAGCTCTTGGAAATAGTTATAGATGTCAATTTTACTGTGGACTGTATACTAACAAATTGTTTACTGCTTCCTATGACAGCTGTGTTTTTCAGGGAGAGCAGGTTTATTTACAGTGCCTAACATAGTATAAATTCTAGAAAAGTATATATTTTTATAATGGTATTTTGTTACCTATAGTCTGCCTGAAGGATTTAATGCTTGTATTTCCAAAGTACATATGACTTTATTAGGAAGCCAGACTTCTGCATGCATCTCTATAAATACCTTTATTTGCATTATGCATGTGATAACATTCCACTGGCAAAAGCTGATCTAGAGTAAGAATTTTTGGTCTCTATTGAGTGTCCAGACATTCTTCAAGCTTTTAATCTGTGAAACACCTCACACAGTGCTGTATTTTGCATGTATATTTCATTTGAGCTTTTACAGGTGTGGTTTTTTTTTTTTTTTGCCAGTGATTGAGGCACAACAGGAGAAGGAAGCTTGTTTAAGCATGGCTGATTTCCTTAGAGTAGCAAAGAACAGTATGCTATTACTCATCTGAAAAACCTGAAAGTACAATCTGCAAAAGTGCACTGTGATTTAAATTTCGATATACAACAAGGTAAAAGCAGTAGATGAGAGCTTGCAAGGTCATTGAAAAGAGAGCAAGAGGCATTTCTTCAGAGCCTTGAATTTGAGCCTATTTTATCTAGTCCACTAGGAACAGCCAAAAACTTGCTGCTGGTGCTGCTACTTTGCAAGCAACAAAGCAGTGTTCAGTAACCTTTGCTTTAAATTGCTTGAAATTTTGTAAAGCCTCGTCATGCAACTTATTGTGTTTAGGTTATTTATAGTAATCTGATGCATGTAAAATTAGAGAGGGATGTTATATATTTGTATAATGTTTGAGTGAAAATAGTATTTAGGGAATATGTTTCTTTGCCATTTTTGGACCTAGACAGCTCCTAATGCTGTGAAGTCATTTCCACTGTTGATATAAATCATTATAGCTTCACGAAAGCCGGTAGAATTCATGCACTAAAATTAACTGCTGACAAGGGCCAATGTCAGTGATCAGAATTCAGCCATCCCCACAAATACCACCAAGCTACTTGAAGACAAATGAGTATTCAGATCCTTTTTGAAATACAATTTAAATGCAAAACGGTTTATTTCAAGCATCACCTTTCTACCTTTTCTTATTGGCTCTGCTGTTAGCAGCAGCAGTGTATCAGAACTTCAGTGGTTTGGAACCTAATTCAAGAAAGCAAGCTCAGTGTGTTACAGGGTCTTTAAATTCGTGGTCTTTTCTGTTTTTTTCTCAATGGATATACTGTGTTCATTCAGTATCACTTTTTTAAAATCACAACAATCAGGACTGTTTTTTGTCCCAACATATTTTAATGTATACCTCCACTGGTGGTATACATAGCTAGTGTAATTTCAGTCTTGGGCAATTTTCTTATTTTCTACTTAAAGTTATTTTTAGTGCCTTTTTTATGAGCCTGCAGTGACCTCATGCTGAAGATTTAGGTTATGCTTTAAACAAGTCCTGTCAGCAAAAGCACCTAGAGCGATAGAGGCAGGCTCACACCTGAAGGAGAAGCAAATCAACCACTTTCCAAGGAGATGTTGGTAAGTGTGAGGCTTCAGTGGTTGCATCTGGAACATCTTCACTAACACTACAATAGAAACAAGTCCTTTAACAACAATGTCAAATAGGAGATTAGGCTTGAATGACTGTACTGAGATAAGAAAACTTATCATTCAACATGATTGTTTTATTTCTCAGTTATAAGCGCAGTTTATTTCTGTGAATTAGTGTATTTATTTGTCAGTATGTTTGGCAATGCCACTGCTTTTTTGTTTCTGTTAATATACCTGGATTTGGACGAAGTTTCCCTGGAGGTGAAGAGAAGGGCTGAATCTCGAGTACTGAACAAAATGAAGTGACCAAAGGAGAGGCTCTAATCTCCTCATGAAAACCTGAATGTTTCTCCCAAAGGGTCTTGAGTTTTGGTGACCCCTCTATACCATGCCATGTAGGTTGATTTGTGCTCCAGCTCCAATGAGACTAATGCATTGACTTGTTTAATATACCAAGAATGACTTTGGTTTTTGTTTCCACACTCATCGCTTCTGTCATGAGTCATCATGCAGCTTGAATGTTGTTTAGAAGGTGAGGTTCTGTCTTTTCTTCTGTGATGGCTTTTATGAGTGACTTTCAGTATATTTTTGTCAAACCTTAAATTTGATTAAATAAATTTTAATGTTTTATGCTGCTGGCACTTCTTTTTTAAGATTTGTATGCTGTCACTTAATATTTTGGGGGGGTTTAAACTGACTGCTGACACTGCACTTTGACTACAAAAATAGTAAAAATCCATTAATGTTCATGTGCGTATGGCTGAAAATTGTTGCTTTATTTTTGTCCTCCTGTTTTCTGAATATTAGAGTCCCTAGATGCTTTTGTTTTATGAATAAATTCTGAAAGAAAAAAGTTAAAAGCCATTATGAAGATCTGCGAACAGTGTAGAGATAAAATGATCACATCTAGATACTCAAAGCTACTAGATACCCATGATACCCATGACTAATACTGTCCATTGTTATCTCCTGTGGTATGCACAGTTCACGATTTGTCATGTCTGAGCAAGGTTCCTGAAATTACTGTAAGAATGCAGAATAAAAATTACTTACAGGTTTGCAGGAGGCATTTTGCATAAATAGGTGTCTGCTTTCTCTAGCATTTCTACAGTTAATGCATAATGTTTGTGCTTCGTTTTACTAAAACTTCTCATTGTGGAATGTTAAGGCTGGGTTCTTACTTGTTTTGTTAGTGTGAGAGCTTAAATGCGGTTGCTGCAAGTGTATACCTTGTACCAGATCCCAAACATATACTAATGTGTGTTGTGGTAACAACTCTATCTCATTCACAATCTGAGATTGTCTGAAGCTATATTCTTTTATATCAGCATGAGGAGAAAAAAAAAAAGGAGGGGGGTGGGAATGGCCATGCT